CCCCAAAACCCCAAAACCCCAAAACCCCAAAACCCCAAAACCCCAAAACCCCTAAATATTGTTAACATGCTGAAACTCTCTAACTATATTTGTTAAGCACCTTGAACCTTCTCCGACCTAGAGTCAATAGCAAAACTTACTTGAAGGGACATAGCTGTTCGTAGTGTTACTTTCTGTCAAGTTTCTTGAAGACTTTTTGAGTAACTTCTCTTTGATCTATACACATTCAGACAAAATTTAGGTAAAACTCACATTCTCAAAGCTGTTCTGGAGATTAATGGTGTTATCTACAACTGTTAGAGTATCATTACGAAGATGATGGTTCTGAAAGATATTCTGAGCAGGCCCAACATGTTTTGTTTTTTGAGGACTTTTGGGTGAAATTGGGCCTCCCAATTTCTCATAAAATGACTTAGAAAGCTTAATGTTCTGGTATGCCCCTGTCGGAGTCTTCAGAAGTTTCAATCCTTCTGGCTTTGTGCCAGCAGATACTAAAGAGTCAGCCAAGAGCTTACTCTTCTGCTGGAATTCAGGGCACAGGTTCTTGGACTTCAAGATCTTCTGTTTGAGGTAGGGAAAGACCGGCTCTTCCCGGTTATGGGCTAAGAAGGTCTCTAAGAAATCTTACTGTTTAGCTTTGACAGGTAATTATTGGAGAAGACTGGGTTCTTTCCATACATTATGTCTATAAATTACATACTGATGGTACTATTCTCTTCTTCATCAAAATTTGGTAGTTCTTGATTCGGCCTATATCTAATCAAAGTGAAAGTACTTTGAAGAAGAGTCTGGATTCAGACTTTCCTGACAACTAAAATCTCTATTTTTCTTTATATTTTGGAAGTATTCTCTGGCAGTTTGTGCTGCTTTGGTGGCACGCTGTTTGTCTTCCGATGTCTTATCTTCTAAGAAGGTTAAGGAGGACATACATTTTTGACATAATTGCTATAGAAGCCGTTCGAGGGTTTATGTCTCATTCTTAGTCGTTGGTGATGATCCTTATTTGCGAATGAGGATCTCCTTGTTCCTTCTGATCTCATGAGGAAGCAAAGTGCTATGCTTGTTACTAGTTTTTACATCAAATGAAGAGGGATCGTCTACATCAATTAACTTGTGCCCCTTGTGTTTAGGCTTTGATGAAATGAACCCGAGGTTGGTAGATTTTGTAGCTATGTACTCATCAATGCCATAGAGATTTAGTTCTCGGTTCAGACTTGATTCAAGCCGTTTTCCATCATTTAGACCTAAGTTTGATTTAAAGTACAATACCAGATTTATTTTTGTGGGTTGTTAGTTCTTTGTAGATGTTTGTTTCAAAATCATTTGACGATACTTTAAAGTCAATTCCTCCTGGAGTTTTACTACTAATCAGAGGCATTTTTATAACTCATTTGGAACTGCTGAAGACCCAATCTGTACAACACTCATGTCTACAATTTTCCTATGAAGGTAACTCTGATACTCATCAAGTCCTGTGATCTCATCGAAGTAGGAATAATCTGCTGAGTGGTCTATAATACATCATTTGGTCTCAAATTTGAATCTATCTTCTCAAAACTCATAATATTCATCCTTACTTACCCATAAAATTAATTTTATCAAAAGTTTCAAAACTTCAAAATTTCTCTGGGGTTTTGGGGTTTTGGGGTTTTGGGGTTTTGGGGTTTTGGGG